CCCGCTGCGGCCCCTGCGGCTCGCCTCGCGAGGGCTGCATGCCCTCCTTGCCGCCCTGCTGTCGGGGCTGCTGCTGGCGCTGTCTTGCTTCCGGGGTCGGCGACGGCGGGCTGGGGCGCCCCTGGGCGGGTCTGGCTTCAAGGGAGCTACCCCGGTCCCGCAGGCGCGCAGCCCTTTCGCCCCGCGGGAGTCCTGGCGGCGCGCGGCGCGCACCGCCCCGGTGGCAGGCACTTTCGGGCTGCTGAGCGGAGCTCTGCAGGGCTACGAGGTTCTACACGCCCTGGGCTACGGCGGCCAACCTGGCCTGGAGGGGCCCTGGCCTTGGTGGGCTTTCCAGCTGGGTCTGCGCCTGGGTGAAGTGGGCGTCGCCCTCCCCTTGGCGCTGCTGGGCCTCTACCCCGCGCTCTGCAGCCCCCGCATGCCGCCGCGCTGCTGGGCCAAGATCTTCCGTTTGTCCCCGGGCCACGCCGCCCCCCTATTGCCCGGAGGCTGGGTCACCGCGCCCCAGGACAAGGAGCCCCTCGGTAGCGCTATCGCTCGTGGCGACGCGGAGCTGCTGCAGCTGTGCGCCCTGGCAGGGCCGGGCCCCGACCTGCTCCTTCAGGGCGGTGGCTGCCCCGGCTTCGAAGGCGCCGAGGACAACCCGGTACAGTCCCCGGCCTCCTCCCCCGGCAGCGACTGCACCGTGGACTTCCGCCCGCCCTCCCCGATCAACCTTCGGCGCAGCATCGAGGAGGCGCTGTGCAGCGAGGCGCTTCTGGCTCCTGGCCTCTTCCGGGGCCCTGCCTTTGGGGAAACCTTGCCTGGGCTCGGCCTCTATCGCACCTCTTCGCTGGGAACCAAGACCAGGGCTGGGCTCAGTGGAAGGTCGGAGGAAGCCCCCAGCTCCCAGGCACCTCCGGAGCTCCCCTCTCCTGGGGCTTGGCCCGCGGGCAGTAGCGCCTCATCTGGCTCCCTGTATGGACTATCGCGGGACAGCTCGTCCATGCTGTTGTGTTCCAGCCCGGACAGGCCTCTACGTTGTCCGCTGGTTTGTGTCCTCAGTCCCCCGCGCCCCTCTGGAAGCAGCCTTAGCCTCCAGGCCTCAGGATCCTACCAGGCCCTGTCTCCACCCTCCCACGACTCCCCAGAGCCTGCCCCTGAGCTGCAGGCTGAGGAGGCCTTGCTCCAGGAGCAGTTCCTGGATGCTTGTCGACAAATCGATGAGCTGAGCGTGGGTAGCGACACCATAGACCTCTGATAAGGCGGGCACTTCACTGCTTTGCCACTGTACATCCCTCTCCAGCGCCTGCTCTGTCTGAGACCTGCACACTGTAACCCTGCCCCAATCCTGCCTGGCTCAGATACCTCTCCCCACTTTCCTCCCCCATCCAGAGGTCCCTGGGTGGTGGGTCAGCAGCCAGGCTCTGTTGATTGGGAATTAGTGCCACCTTCTCTGGAGCCCTGGGCACTAATGCCCTCAGCTACAATTTTAGGCTCCCAGGGGTCCCACTTTCCTTGGCCTTCACCAGCAATAAAGCTCCAAGGTGCTCCACTCTGATGAGTGAGAGGGGCTGTCCTCAGAAGACCTGGGGCCCTGCCTTGGCCCCATACCCACCTCTGCCAGGCGCAGGAGTCCCACCCCTGTGGTGAGACTCCTTGTCCTCTATGGGACCGTTCCCCACAGAAGGCTTCACAGCCCATTCAGGAGAACTTACAGCAGGTGGGTGGGAGGCAAATGCTTTCAGAGTTAATTTATCAATAAAATATTTTCAGAGGAGGAAGTTCTGACTTTCTTGGAAGAGCTTAAATGGGGTGACAGCAGCCGTTGTTCTATCAGAAGTGGAGGTGGGCGAGTCTGCCTCTGACTCCAGGGTTCCTCATGTGTCTGGTGGCTGGGCTGAATGAGTGTCCTGTCCCTTGAAGATCCTTCTGTCTCCCTGGGAAATGGCTTTTCATAGGGGTGACACATGATCCTGAGACGTGGAATAGAAACTCTTCAGTCCTCAGTGAAAATACCTGTGCTCTTAGGAGCCGGCTTCGGGTAATGATACACAGCTGGCTAGTCAGGGTTACAGTCCTCCATGGAGATACTGATACACATGTACAAGCACCTGGTTGCCTGAGGCTGGAATCCCACCAGTCCCCCTGCCACGTTCCTACAGTTTGGGATTCACAAAGAAGAGGTCACCTTCTTCACCCATTAACAGATCCTCTTTGAGGCTGGGGCTCACAGCCACCCCGTCCTCGTCCTCTAGAACTGTTCTCTCCCATATGTGCAGATCCTTCCTAGAGTAACCCTGTGCCCAGGGCAGTCTCCATGTTGAAGCCTAACACCCAAAGCAGAACTCACAATGCAGAGATCCATAAACACATCCAGCCATCAGGCGCTCTATAATCCCTCCTTTGCCTGGAGCAGTTGGCTTGGAGCTCTACATTTGACACTTGGCTAAAATGCAGTGGTTCAGAGTGGCACAAAAGCAGGGGCTTGGATTAGGTTTGAAAATAAAGATCTGACCATGTTTTGCCAGATGTCCTACACATCACAGGGGCACACACACTAGGCTTAGAATGGAAAAACAGGAACTTGAGTGGGTTTTCTTCCAACTCTGACTATCAGCTGGTGGGGATTGGAGAAGCGAGGCTGGGAGCTAAGGGGAAAGCAGGCAGGAAGGCTAGGAGGGGCTTGGGCCCTTGGTAGCCAGCTCAGGTCTACCCGCTAGTGGAGGAATTCAAGCGCTGCTCTCCTTGCAGATAAAGGTCTGTCTTGGCTGCGACGAGCACACAGGGCCTCAGCCTCAGAGGAAGGAGGGGTGCCAGCAGTGTCATAGGGAGAGGGACAGTCAAAGTGGGGAGAGAAATGGGAGGTAGTGGTGCAGGCGAGGCTGAGGGATGCACCTGGAGTTGTTTTGACTGCGTCTCCTCCATCACCTAGCCCAGCCCGGCTCAGAAATTCCTACTGCACTGTCGCTCTGGGCTGAGGCCCAGAGAACTGCCAGCCTCCTAATTGCAGGCATTTCTCACTGCTGTCGTAGTGGCTATAGCAGCCCAGCATCCAGGCAGCACTGTGTCAGGCAAGGAGTGCTTGCGCTGCTCTGGGCAAGTGCATGCTTTCTTCCCCGCATTCCCTTCCATCTACACTCATCCGTTTGTGCTCACGCCCAGCTCCCTCTGCCATCTCTTTTTCACTCTGATCCTGGCCAGCTGCTCTCTCTCTCTCTCACTGTCCACATCACGGGCCACTGGGTTCTACACACACTTCCCAAGAGAACAGTCCAAGCCCCGGAGACCCCCAGTCAATCTGTCTGTCTGCATGTCTATCTCTCTCATGTTCATGCACACTTCATTTCTAAGTGGGGTTTGTGAGGAAGGAAAAAGACATGGGAAGACAGCTCCAACATTTTGTTGATTTTCCTCGGTAAGAATTACTGTAGCCCTAGGACTCCCTAAAGAGGCCAGGACTCGGATTAGACAGCCTTTCCTTCCCTTTTGTTCCATACCTTGTCCGGCATGTTTCCCAAGAGTCCAGGTATATCCTAATCCAGATGCCCTGCAATTCCAAATCTTGGTACTTTGGGGGACTGAGGGACAAGCTCACCTATATTCATTCACTCTCTTAAAAATATTCATGAAAGCTTACAATGTGCTAGGTGCTGGGAACAGAGGTAAAGGAGAAAGATACCAGTCCCGGATGTATGAAGTTGCAGGTCTTTTGGGGGAAGGGCAGGCATTAAACTTATTGCATAAATAATCACAATAACACAAGTAATTAATTACAGTTGTGAGACTTGTGAAGAACAAGAACAGTTTGACATCACAGAAGATTTAGCTTGCGAGGGAGATTGAAGCCAGAGAGAGGAGGCCTGGCAGAGGCTGGCTGAGCACAGGCCAGGCCTCTCTTACTTCCTTTCCAGGCTCCTGCACAGTGATGGATGAGGGGCAGACTGACGGTTTATTTCCCCTGGAAGCCGCGTTGCAGGGTTCCACAGCTCCTGCTATTTAATAAAGAACGCTGCATGTGTCCTGAGTAGATGGATGAGCAAATATTCCTGATCGAAGAACCACATGCCCTCCCTGATATGAGTGGATAGGAAGGGGTGGGGCAGGAAAGAGATGGGGACCCGCATGTGAACTACGGGGATGGTAAAAGGAGCGGTTGTGCTGTTGTCCTTCCTGAGGGGAACAAATCCCTGCATTGCGGGTAGCTGCTGCCCCCTGACGGTTTTGTACTTTAAGGAAACTATGGGTCTCAATATAAAGCATTCATAGGGAGTACAAGATGTTGGAACAACCTTCTCAGGGTTCTTCCCCTGTGCAAATTACATCCAGGACTGGGAAGGCCTCCCCATAACTGGGGCCTCAGAACCTTGTAATCAGTCTTTGGGAATGGAATGTCGATTCCGAAGGTGGGGAATGGACAGGAAGGAAAGAGAAGAGGGAGGGATGTTGAATCCCAAATCAACGTTGCTCAAATGGCTTAACTCATTTCCTTTGTCTGTGTGACTCTATACCACATAACATTTACCTTGTAGCCCTAACAACCTGTTTTGTATTTCAATGCTTCCTTTCTTACATTTTGTGTTTAAAAAATAGCTGTGGTGCTCCACATAGTGGTGTATGCCTGTAATCCTAGCATTCAGGAGGCTGAGGCAAGAGGATCACCATGAGTTCAGGGCCAACCTGAACGACAGTGAAACTCTGTCTCAGAAAACAAATAGCCAGGCATGGTGGTGCACACCTGTAGTCCCAGCACTCGGGATGCTGAGGAAGGAGGATCGTTGTGAGTTTGAGACCAGCCTGGGCTACAAAGTGAGCTCAAGGCAAGCCTGAAACTGCATAGCAAGACCCTGTCTCAAAAAACCAAAAACAAACAAACACAAAAACTGTGTGTGGGGTGTTATAAGACTAGGAAAATTTGTTGGAGAAAAGATGTGATGTGTTTTTTGAAGCATATATTATGCACTTGGAGATGAGACTTCGTAAATCTGGTGCTTAGTGCTTTCTCTTTCCCTTGTATCACTACAACTGGTCATTCATCCATCACAAAG